GTGAAGCTGACGGGCAGTGAAGATACATCCTTCGTCGACGCGAGCAACGAAGCCCACGGGCGCATCCCATACATACTTCATTTTCACGTGATGCCGATGAGGCGACACGAGCTTAATCCGATGAGGCGACTTGAGCTGAAGGAGACGGAGGAATACGCGAGCAGCTAGACTACCAAACAAGCCTGTCCCTTTCTTCGTTTTCGCGTGAAGGTTCATTTTCTTTATCTTCTTCGTTGTCCTTCCTGTAGAATTTTTTTTAATATCTTTTATTTTCTTGAAGTTCTTTTATTTTCCTATATCTCTCTCTCATTTCTGAAGCCCAAAGATAAGTTCACTTCCACATGAAAATGAAGAAAGGAACAATATTTAATGAACTGTCCTCTTTTCATTTCTAAGTAAAAGAGAAATGAAAATAACATATTTGTTTTCCTTAACCTCTCAACAAAAATAAAAATCCTTGTAAATAATAAATATTAGATTTTTTTTTTTTTTTTGAAAAAGGATTAAAAAAAGGATTTATAAATATTAATGTTGCGTCCGCGACGTAATCTTATCCTGTATTTTAAGAATTGACGTGTTCCATATCTAAATTGTGTCATATCCGTGTCGTTGTATCTGTATCGGCGCAACATAGGTACTAGCACTATGAAAACATGAATAAAGAGGAAATGTTTGAAAGATCAATGGCTTTATCCATATGGTACGAAAAGATCTATACGTGCGCAACCCGCTCGTGTCCTATTCATTTTCGCGACTGCGAGGGCTTAAGCATTTCCGCTACCAGAGCTTCAAGTTAGGGCTTTTCCATTTCCGTGTGCGACTGTACATCTTCTTCATTGTCGTCGAAGGAGCAGCACACGAGCAAGCTTACGGGAAGTCGACGGAGCAGTGAAGCTGATGGAGCAGTGAAGCCAACGGGCAGTGAAGATACATCCTTCGTCGATGCGAGCAACGAAGCCCACGCGCGCATCCCATACATACTTCGTTTCTTCGTTTTTGCGTGAAGCCGATGAGGCGACACAAGCTGAATCCGATGAGGCGACTTGAGCATAAGGAGACGGAGGAAAACGTGAGCAGCTAGACTACCAAACGAGCCCGTCCCTTTCTTTGTTTTCACGTGAAGGTTCATTTTCTTTATCTTCTTCGTCGTCCTTCATGTAGAATTTCTTTTAATATCTTTTATTTTCTTGTATAGATTTTTCTTTTATTTTCCCGTATCTCTCTCATTTCTGAAGCCCAAAGATAAGTTCACTTCCACATGAAAATGAAGAAAAGAACAATATTTAATGAACTGTTCTCTTCTCATTTCTAAGTAAAAGAGAAATGAAAATAACATATTTGTTTTCCTTAACCTCTCAACAAAAATAAAAATCCTTGTAAATAATAAATATTAGATTTTTTTTTTTGAAAAAGGATTAAAAAAAAGGATTTATAAATATTAATGTTGCGTTTGCGACTTAATCGTATCCTGTATTTTAAGAATTGACGTGTTCCGTATCTAAATCGTGTCGTATCTTGTCGTTGTATCCGTATCGGTGCAACATAGGTACTAGCACTATGAAAACATGAATAAAGAGGAAATGTTTGAAAGATCAATGGCTTTATCCATATGGTACGAAAAGATCTATACGTGAGGAAATGCTAGAAAAGCCAGAAATATCTAGAAGAAGGAAACAGCAGTTAACAAACTTCAAATCAAGGTAAATAGACTAAAGGGAAGCTTCAAATGTATTGTCATCATAAGGAACACTAATTAGTTTCTATCATAAGTTCACATTTGAGAGAATTGCTATTGAATACTTTCACTAATGCACTTCAAATCATGGTAAACTAAACTACTACAAATTGAAGCTCCAATGTAATGTCATTGTAAAAAATGCTGACCAGTTTGTGATTACTTTACATTTGAGTAATTTGTGGAGAGAATTGCTATTGTGGACTTCCATTAATGCCCTTTAGAACATTTGAACTTTGGAAGTATCACCATAAGGGCGCTAAAGAAAACAAAATTTTGCTGCAAACAATAGGATGTAGGATATATTCCATTGAAACCAGTGATATCGTCGAATGTTGTAATATCCCATACCTTCCATGGAAAACAATAATTTTTGTATTCCTGCAATCACCAAATGTAGGGTACAATTTCCATGCAAAATGATATGTTTGACATGAACATATGATATGATTCATATAACATTTTTGTCAAGTCAGTTGAGGATTCATAGTGCGTGGATGCATTGATTGCTTCTTAACTTTTAACATATTTTTGCAAGTAATTATAATCGATCCTTGGATGGGGTGATCCAAGGCTTTCACTTGCAATTGTGGCAAAGTAAAGATGTGAGCGATACCCATGGGAGGTTGGAATAATTTTATTGGAGATGGTGGTCAAGAAGGAGTTGGCCAGGGGGTTATGTCTTGACCAACCCTAGGGCTCTTCTTGTAGATTTAGATCTAAGGTTTCTTATGGTGGAGAATTCAAGGCATGGAACCACTTATGAAGGTTAGGATCATTTTAGATGTGATATGGAGTGTTCGGTAAATTTCTAAGTGGGTAAGAGGCCAAGGGATTGAGAAAAGTCAAGACTAGATCAAGTGACCTACTTTGAATATATTTGACTAGAATTGGAATATTGATTTAGTCAAGAAGATTAAAGGTGTATAGAGGGACTAGAATGGCTTTGGGATGTTAAAGGAATGTGTGGAGATCATATATGAAGCATGGTGGAGATCTAAAAGTCTTAGAAGGCAATTTAGGAGGGAGGATCAAAACTAGGTCAAGAGTACCCTAGTTGATGCCAATGATTCAAAAGAGGTTTATGAGTTTTTTTATGGCCATGGGGTTTGAAAACATGTTGTAGAATAATAGAATGATACTAGGAATGTGGGAGAAGATGCTATGAATGATTGGAGAGAGATCAACAAGTATAAGCAAGTATAAGAAAGATATTTTAATCTTCCAACAAGATTAACACAAAAGTAGGTAGGCCACCAAGCTCTCAACCTTAAAGATTTCACTCTTCAATTTTTTTTCCAAATATCAAAATTTCTTTTCTATTCGTTCTAGCAAACTTTAAGCTATTACAATTCAAAATTTAAACAAAAATGTCATGAAAAAATCAAATCTTGTAGTGGGGCCTATACAATCAAAATAAGAGATTAATTGCAGAGGAACACAGCATCTTTGGGTAATAGAGATGCTGGTCTTGTCTACCCAAGCAACCTTGTAAGTTTGTGGATGAGGTTTATGAGTGAGCTTCATACTAGCCAGGGCAATAGTCGAGACAACGTTCATACCTATCACTCTTAATAATAAGTTTACATGATCTGTCTTCACTTTGAAGTAGGCATAGAAGGTATTAGTGAGCTTTCCATCGGTATTAGTTTGAGGAATAGCTAACACATAATGTACCACGGTCAAGTGTGAACCATCCACTGCTTCCTTGGCATCATGGCATCATCATATGGATTAAACTTGACATTATCTATCTGTTAGTCTTCTAGAAAATTGATCAACAGAATCCAAATGGAGACTCCTGTGAGGACGATTACTTCATAGTTGCCAATCTTGCCACAAGTAAGCAAGTGACACTTAAGATTTGGAGTAGAGGCTCCAGACACAACTCTTCCCTTTGGGATTGTTCGATACCTTAGGAGCAAGAGGAACAATTGGGCTTAAAGATGAAGTACTAGCAGTAGTGAATCTTCCATGGGTGGGGTTGAGATATTACTCCAACTAAAGGGCTCATTGGAATGTCTCCTCAAGATTATAAAACTTACGAGTCAACATCTCCCAATGGATGTCAGGATAGAGTCCAATTCAACATCTAGCAATAGTAAATTAAGGCCTTCAAAAAAGTCACATCAAATCATTAACTCATCGGATAGTCATAATCAACAACTATCATAGAACCCTGCCTAAGCTTAGTCAGTTCATGTAGAAGTTGATCATGAAATGTAAGATACTTCTACTTTAGAAGCTCCTTCATCTCATCCCAAGATCCAATATGTGGTTGGCTAAATATTTGAAGTTGTTGCTCCAAGACCGTATAGGTCTCAGCATGACCGATGAGTCCACTACAAGCAAACTTGACCTGACAATTCTCAGACATAGCGATCCAGTCAAAGTATTGGTCCATACCTAAGTGCAAATAAAAAAAAACACATTTGAGCCAAGACGACCATCAAAAGGAGGGGTTCAACCTTAATCTTTTTAGTGATGTCACCAACCAAAGCATTCAATAATCCTAGGGTTCCATAGAACTAGTCGAAACCTAGGAGGGATTCCTCATAATGATAAGGATATCACTCCAGTGGAAAGGGATGATATGGATGGCCATCAAGCCTATCACTATAGAAAAATGCGTTGTTACCAGCAGACAAAATCAGTCAGTAACACGTGAAATTCGCCGGAAAATCCTTATTTCCAGTGAAATTACGGCGAAAACATCTTCGACGGTAATTCGCGCGTCGGAAAATCAATACCGACATAACATTTTCGCCAGAAAATTTTCCGTCGTATTTTTTGGCGGTTTACCGGCGCAAAATATGTAAAACCAACGTCAAGGTGGCAAATTCCGGCGTTTCTTCCGCAGGTATTTCCGACAGATATTGTACGTCGAAATAACCGGCGGATAATTCGCCGCTCCGGCCGTCGCACTGTTATCGACGACATTACCAGCGGATATACCGCCGGAAATGTACATCGGAAACAATGATTAAGTATCGACATGTCGTGTTGCCGGTGGTGTTTCCAGCAAATTATCCTCCGGAAACCTGTAGCAGATGCAAAAAAAAATAACCACCTGACTTCTAAAACTGATTTCCACAAACCTGCATAGACAAAATTGCAATACTATATACATTGACAGCAGTTTACTGCTGAAATTTTACTGATTTGGGTTAGGAATACTTGAGAACTCAAGTACTTCCTATCAATGTACTCCATAACAAAAACAAGAATAATACCATCAACAAATATCTAACAATAAAGAAGTACAGATGTCCATAAAACAAACAAGTAAACATGTTCACAAATACATAATAACATATGTTCACAGAATTAAAATAAACATCTACTCTCATTCAGTCTCCTCCTCTGCTGATGCAGCTGTATTCTGCCCACTTAACTTCTCCCTCATCTTTCGCATTTCCTCTAATATTTGAGTTTGCTGCATCTGCACCAGAGAGTGATGCATCTCCATCTGCTGCTGAATCTGCATGTGCCAGTCAGCTTGTGCTTTCTTTACCTGCTCTAGCTCAGCTGTAAGGGCAGATACATGTTGGCTATATAAAGACTCCTGGGTATTTGCTAAGTTGGAGCCACCGGAAGTCAGACCCTCATATGCATAGTCTTGCGAGCCTAAACCGTATACTCCGTCGTGCTGCATTCCTCCTACCGGTTGCGACAAAGTGCGGTAGTCAGAATATTCTGCTAATCCACCAGAAGAACCTTCACCTGATGTAGCCTGGCTCTCTCGAAGCCCTGTATACTCCTGTGAAAGTTTATAAAAATTTAAGCAATTTATACATGACATCAAAAAAATTAAACTTATATACTTACATAGGTTTTCCTCGCTCGCTCATCAACCAATTGTTGGTCCACCTGTCGTTTGTGGATATGACTATGCAATTCAACAGGGGTCGGTTCTCTACCCAACACCTCTTTCTGTAACAAACATACATTAGTATTCATATAAAAGTAAATTATTAAAAGATTTTAAATTTTCTTACCAAACGTCTTTTGTGCTCAGTATGTGGAATAGAACCCCCAGTATGAAGAGAACTACCCATACCCCCAACATCAGAAGCTATGTTCTGACTATTTTGATCCCCCCTGCTATGTGGTTCATACTCACCATGAGAAGTCCAATACCAATATCCTGGCATGAAGCCTCGACGGTATAGATCAACAGTTACGTCATCTGGGCTTAAGTGCGCCATATTTTTATGTTTTGAACATGGGCAACGAAACTTTCCATCTGAGATGAAGCTGGGCAGTTGAGAAGCTGTATGAATGAAAAAATTCACCCCTTTAATGAACTCATCTGTTAATGCCTTTCGTCCTTGTGTCAATCGATTATACATCCAACTTCTTTGAGATCTGATATCCATTATATAACCTACATATAATATGGGTATATTAGATAATGTTGTAACATTTATTGAAGAAAAATACAAAAAATCTTAGCTTGCTCGGAAGGCCGTTGTTTTAAGTGACCAAACACATCCAGGCGACTCTCTCTAACTCTTATCTTCACTAGAGGCTACATCCAACCTTCTCACATTATATGCTATTTTTGTATCATGTTTATAAGCAAGTACGCACAATGCATTCCTCTATGTCTACACAACAACGCCAATGCATTCCTCCACAAAAAAAATCTTCTTAGACTAAGGTTGACGAACATAATTCAGTTTACTTCACTCCTCTCTACTATTATCAATTACAAGAATAATATCATCAGCGAAAAGCATACACCAAGGTAATGAGATAAAATTTCAATACTTAATTTCTTTGTGAGCTTTAAGGGTTTCTTGTGAGAAGTTTGCGTGAAGTCCCTAGGTGAGGAAAAACATCACTCACCAGCCGCCAAGAAGCGGTCTGGGCTCGTGGTCTTCTTCTCTTCTCCGAACTTGCTCTCTCACCATACTTTCACTAGTTGCCACTTTCCCTGGCTTCTTTCTCCTAGACGTCGCCCCCCCCCCCCTCCTACTCCCAACTGCCACCCCCTTCCCCTTTCCCCAAGCCGCCGATCAACCCCTCTTGAAACCACCCGGTTAAACACCCCCCCCCCTTCTCCCGCTCCCTTAACCGCCGGTCATGCCCCCACCATCTTTCTGCTGACCACCCTTCCTCCCCTTGACCCCAAAAGTATCAACCTCCTCTAATTTTTGGAAGTTTTAAATTCAAATTTCAAATCATTCCAAAATTTGAAAATTCCCCTCCTTAAATAAGAAGATTTAATTTAGGAAAGTCCCACCATTCAAGTTGATTTGAATTTTAAATTTTCTTTTTATTTGCTAGATGAATTAATTTTGAAAATTTTTCTTATTCAATACACATTTAATTTGAATTAGAAAGGAGAGATTTGTACCTAGTGAGAACATCCATTAACTTCCATCATCTCTTTCCTAATCAATCCATTTCCTTATTCAATCCACATTTATTTCCACCATCTCTTTCATAATCAAGTTTGCCAAGATTGGAGCCCACTTTAATTCCAAATCAATTACCACTCTTAGTGCCTAGTGACAACAACCATTACAAAAGCAAACAAAAGCCAAAAGGCATAAACCAAGATACCTTCTCTTGCAAATGTCTAGTGAGAACATCCAAACTTAAGGTAATGAGATAATACATTCTCTTACCTGTGGCGTTCAGGGCAGCTTTTGGTGAAAGTCCCTCTATTCAAACACCTAATTCAGCTTGGTAGGCTAATTGATGGAAGAGTTACTTGGTTTGGAATTCCTGGTGTGATCATCCAACTATTCTAATATTAAAGGAGAATGTCCTCATATTACAAATCCTGCATATGAAATTTAATCTCCACTAATCTTCTATGATTGCTCGGTGGGCTCAAAAAATTCACGCCCTGGACTCCTCTCATTCAGGAGAGTTTTAACGAATTAAGTTCTGAGGTAAATTTTTAGAAGGCATATTAGGTTTGAAATAAGAAACTACCCAGAGATTTCACCCTCATTTTGCGAGGACTTTAGATATGAGTTCTGGTTTCCTATAGGCGCAAGCCCCTATAGTTAGATGTTTGTCGGTGTTTACATTCACAGTAGGCTGTTGGTACCGGCTTGCATATGAATCGTCACTTCATAGGTTCCCTGTTTGCATATCTACTGCAATCCTATTAGATATGCTCGTAGGAGAGCCACTGTACTTTTGTTGTATCCACCATCATCATTCACAAGTGATATTTGTGTACTTGCTGGTAGTGGTAAGTTGTATGAAAACTCATGGTGTTGACTACGAGTTATTGCTGTATTCAGTGACTATTGTCTTCATGAAGCGGTTATATGCATGACATGTTTTCTACTATTGTTTACAAAGGTCAAAGCTTCAACCTGCAAGCTGATTGTTGCTTGCATTAAGGCTTTCATTGATGCACGTAGGAGGCACCCGTGCATTCTACAGTTAGATGTTGTCGCTTGCAAGTACAGTGTATTCAACTGCGTGGGCTGGGCATTATTGTAGGAATCCATTATACTCATCAGCATCATTCATTGTGTGTCATGTATTTGCAGATGCTGGTGATTGATGTTCGCTTGTAATTGATTAGATGTTGTAAATTGATTATAATTTATTGTTTGTGTGTATCAAAATCTTGTTCATAGCGAGTCCCTTGCTTGTGAATTGATGTTTGTTTTGAATAATCAAAATTCTTATTTGTTATTTGTATTTTGATTATTATTGTGCATTTTAAACTTTAGGGTCTCGTTCCCTATTGTTCAATTCAAATCCCCTGCTTGTTCAGTCCAAATTTGATTCTCTATTATTCGTACAAATATCCTGTGCATTTGTACAAGTTCTGTGCATTTATGTTCAAGTATAGGTCCTTAGTGTTGTTGAAGTTAGGCCTTCGTGTTGTTCAGGTTTTGTTTATTTTAGTCTGAATTTCATAACATCCTGACATATCCCCCGTTTGGGGGAAATTTAGGGAGTCATAGACTTCCTGTCACGTCAAGAAAGACTTACACGGTCGGTGTCCTGGATACCGCAGCCGCAGTCTTCAATCCCACCAAGCCAAAAAAGGCGTGCATGGGTCTTCAGGGGTACCTATTTTGAAATGCACAGTTGTTTCCCGCTGGCACTGAGTCGCGCAGCATGTGTACTAAAATTTTGTCCCTCCATGTAAAGAAAAACACGCATGAGGATTACCTGCCTCATCGCATGCACCGCGACGAGTTTTCTCCCACGTGCTAAAAAAAAGTGTGCATGGGTGATTGCTCGCCATGCTACAAGCACTGAGGACAGGGTTTGGAGTTTTATACCTATGCAGGGGTCGACGGCGACATCGTCGGCTGTGTCAGCGTGACGACAGTTGTGTCAGCGATGTCTGCATGCAGATCGAGGCACATTTCTCCGCGTCCGAATCTTGCGTGAAGTTGAGGCATGATCGGACGAAGGCCTCAGCGACAAAGAAGGCTTCGGTTGGGGGTTGATTGGGTCAGAAGACATGCAAACAAGATGAGGTCATGACTAGGGCAGGTCGATCAGGCAGTTTACAGAGGAGGGAGGGACGGTTCGACGGGGTATAGAGGTGTTCGAGCGATGTAGAGTTGAACAATTGAGTGGATTTTGGCAAAGAATTGAGCTGCTTCGGTGAAGGATTCGGTACAGGGTTCGGTTGGCCTTTGATTAGGTAGGAGGCATCTGAAGTTGGGTAGGCTTCAGGCAGAGGCGACGGCATGTTGTTGGCTTGTTGGAGTCGGACAGGTCGAAGCAGCTATAGAGCGAGAGATCGGAAGGTGAGCGAACGGGAATAAGGAGAATCGGACGTCTGGTTTTATGGGAGTTCTGCAGATGGCGGGAGCTTGCAGGAATTCGAGTGGGAATTTCGTGCGTGAGGAAGAGCAGAGAAGGCGAGCCCCTTTTGTTTCATTCCCACTTTAATCGACAAGTAAATGGCGACACTAGAGGCAACAGTTGTGCGAATCACATCATTAACATGCGAAGGACGATGCTCGGACATCCGGCTCGTAAGATCTGCAGGATTTCATGAGGAAATCAAGCAAACGGTGTCGTCGAGTAGGTATGAGAGAATGATTTTGATTTTTTTTTTTTTTTTTTTTTACTTTTTGTCATCGTATACGGGTCAACATGCTTGTAGTGCCAAAATTATATATATACAATTTTTTAAGGCACCAAATGAGTTTGGATTAACTTGAAAAAAAAATGTATTAACTAGAAAGTTAATCTAAAATGAATTACCTTAAAGATTGACAAAAGCATAGCGGAAGACTTAAAATTTTAGCTAGATTTAATAAATCATCCACAAGAACAAACAAGAAAGATCACAATGGAAAATAAAGAGATTTGCAAATAGAGGTCCTAATGTTAATTGAATTTTTATTAGAGCCTAAATAACCAATATATAAGAAATTCTATAGAAGGGATGTCTAAAGAATTAAAAATATGTAAATACGAATAATAAGAAGATTCTTAGTACAACAATGTAATAGCAATCTTTCAATCCTTGAAATATTTTATAAGAATAAATTCCACATTCACTCAAGAAGACCTTCACTTCAATAAAAAAAAAGACACAAGAATAAGTGGTGAAGGTAAAACTTTCATTTATTTATCGTCATAAAAGTGATTTGATTGTAGACTTGTTTATAACAAAAAGTGGGAGATAGCAAAAGACAATAAAATAACTATTCAAACATGCCACCAAACATATACCTACTATCATTTTCATGCTTACAAACAAACCTATAACACATAAAAGCCCAAAATGATCCTTAATATAAAAAATGATCCAAACACTTATATACCCAAAATACAATATGACTCAAAGACTTAAAAATCATAAGGGTCCAAAATAAAAGCACATAAAAAAATAAAATAGCACCAGAATGTATAATGTAACTAGAATGTCCTTGGTATATAAGATCTGGAGTTTATGATGATGACAATGATGATCAAAGCTGCTACCATTGACATAACAAAGGGCATTGTATATTTTGGCCCTAATTAATAGCATGGTCACAATAAGAACCAAAGTGTTAGCAGAATTTAACAACAGTGACCTAAAAGGGGGGGCTTTTTCAAAATCATGGACCTATTTAAGAAAAAATTATCCAAACATATAGTAAATATCTACTTAATTTAGAAGTAGATTTTTTTTAAAGGATCGGCTCAAATTAACTTGAAGCTTGACTTGAAATTGATCATTTATGGTTCTAACTAAAATTGAAATTCTCAATTTTGAGTTGAGGGTAGCTTGCTTGAACTCAACTCAATATCACTCCTACCCTCAGCACCATGGATAACACAAAATAAACACTTCTACGTAACTAAAAAGTGAAAAGTGGAATAAAATAATACAGTAAACTACATTTGATCCTATAAAAGCTGGAACAAGAGTCCTTTTATCAAGCACTCCTTCAATCATGAAATAGTTAGGACCCTCAGATAGTAGTTGTGAATCATGAACTTTCTTAGAATCAGAGGTATTAAAATATTCAAAATCCAAAAACATTTATTACCTTAGCAATATAAGTCAGACATACAAGAGAGAATCATTAAAAATAAGTATCAATAATTCAGCAACTTAATTTTTTTACAGAGAACAAAATAAATGTTTCGAATGAAACTCACAATCTTTTTGAAACATCCCGCGCTTGCGCTTCAAAGAAGCCTCTGATAGCTGAGATGAACCTGCCTTTGGCTTTGCAGCCTGCGCTGATGATGAATTGTGCATTATCTGAAAAACAAAAATTCATGGAACGTAAAAGCTATATAAAAATAAGTTAATAAAATTTAAGTGCATGCTGAAAATTGTAATTCTAACATAGTAAGACCAAGAAAACGTAAGTTACATATAGTAACTAGGGTCACGGATAATGGTTCTTGAGCTATCCAACTTAAATCAAAATCATAGGAAAAGAAATAGCTGTTGAGTTAAAGAGCTAAGAAATCAGCAGATCAGTGATGCTAGATGAAATAGTTCAACGCTGCCTGAAAAAACACCATCTAGTGACCTTTAAATGACAGGGCTTCATATCTGGTTGAGATCCCACGCAAAGAGAATCAATTCCAGTTCAATTAGAAATGAATTTGCATACAATTTTAGAACTCATTATCTATCTAATAACTGTGAGCACATGCACATGCGCACGCGCACGAGCCGCACAAATTGTGAAGAATATTTGAAATGTTCCAATACTCTCTGATTGATAGAACCTTCCAAATGAAATACTAAACCATTGAATTGATTTGACGACCAAGATGGTTATAAAAGCTAAACCAATAATAAGATTAAACATCACATGACTTTCTGATCAATCTCACTGATCATTTGTTGATAGTACTATCAATCACTTTGATTTCAAGGATTTGAATCCGACCCAAATATTTATGCTGGCATTGAGTAAGTTAAATGCCTCTATCATTAGTCTTACTATGCCTTGCAAGTGGTTATTATTGGAAGGGCGGCACATCCATTTGCTCCTGTGAAAAAGATGCTTCTAATTTTGCTTTGATACTGTCATTAAAACTCCTGTTACCAGAAAAAGGAAATAACATATTTTACAATGAAATTAGTCAGGGATGAATTTGGTAGAGGGGTAAACTTCAAAATAATCCACCCGACTATTTGTATATGATCAATTGAATTTCAGAGTATTCTTGTGTTCCGATTTAGTCCATCAACTATATAAAGTTGATCTAAAATAATTCCCTTGGAACTAAATTGGGATCATTTTTGTATAATTGAGGGAATAAATTAAGATCAATTTTATATCACAATTACAATATTATGGCCCATTTTTTTTCAATTTTGCATGGTCAAGGAATTTAATTTGAGCAACATGATACTCCGAGATCAAATGGGGACTATTTTGGACATTTTCTAATTTAGTAGAAAGGGTCTCCATTGCACCATCAATTCCATGTGATTAACAGGAAGCTAGCTAACTATGCAACCATAGTTAAAAAATCACTATTTTTCCATCAAAAGTATTTACCTTTCACTTTCTGCAACTTCCACACTTATGTTTGTTCAGCAGGTGTTGGAGAATTTTTGTATCCTCAAACGGATTGCATATTTTATAATCGGGCACGGCATAAGAATACGATATATTACCCCGGAGGGTAAAAATATCATTTTCTTATGGGCTCAATAATAAAATTTACAATTATTTAACACACAATCGAGCCTAGTCGGGCTCGATGCAAAAAAAAGTACGTCAACAGCAGGTAGCTCTCAAAACATGACTATCTTCTTCAAACAAGTATTTAAGGAAAAAAAAATTGTATTCAAACATTCTATACTAAGAAGGTTTTTGTCATGATTAACGCTAGCAAGTCACTTGAATCAAGTGGATTGACAAATCATTGTAGGCTCCAAAAATTCATAAAATGTCCTTTCAGGTGTGCTTCCAGCCAAAATTTCAGAAGGTATATAATTTTTAAGATAAGACACTACCTATAGATTTCTCCATATTTTAGTGATGATTTTATGATCTGATTTTAAGTTTAGCATAGGGCAAGCGTTGTGATTAATTATCCCTCCCAATGACAAGTAAATTATTTTATTAAAGTCAATAGTTAGAAGCTAATGCTTAATATATAATAGCAACAATTTGACATAGGATTTGAATTTACCACCTTCAATTTAAAGCAGATGGTGAGCAAATTATGAAGAAAAAGATCAAGATCTCAAAGTTTCGTCACCCCGGATTAGGGTCCCTGGTCTATTTAGTTAGAGAAGATAGTTTATCCAACTTGATTGAAGGATTCTTATCGGTAGTTATGAGTTGTTTCCTCCAAATGTACCTTGTATATCTGAGATGAATATTTATCCAAGGAGACATTCAAATCGATCTTAGCAAACAGAAGGTTTTTTACCCTATCAAGTTCACCATATGATTCATTACTTAAAAATTTTTAGCCATTAAGGAACTTACATGCTCAAACTGTGACTGTAATTTAATAGTATTATTTTAAAATCAAATCACCTGATCGAAGGCTCTGCAAATTGCAACTCAATGTTACGCCTTTTCCTCTGCCCTCTGAATAGCTTTCCTCAAGATGAGGAAGCGTCAAAAATATGCATTCCAAGTGCAAAAGGCACAGTCAATTGCATGGTAGCATTGGCAGGTACAATAGAGACCCTTTGGTTGATGATATCCCTCTTAATAGTTGGGCCTTTTAGATAAAAAAACGTCTTTCAAATATCGACATCCTTTTTCAAGGTATATGTAACAGCATCGTCTTCAACAAATTCCTCTTAATAAGGGGTTGTTTGGTTGGAGGAAAAATGAATGCAGTGTAAAAGAAATATATTATTTTTTGGTGTTTGGTTGGACATAATGTAAAATGAAGTAAAATCCTAATGTATTAGAAACTCCCCGCTGTAGTTAATTTCACATGTAAATGAAACCCGCTCAAATCGAGCGAAAAAGTAATTCACGGGGGCACGAGAGAAAAGACTGCGGTAACTCTTGTTCGTTTCTTCCTCCATTGCCACAGTAACCCTTGCTTTCTTTGTTGTTGTTCAACTTCGCCTGCTTCGTGTGAGATAGACTTTTGATCGAGTCTCTAAGAAACTCCTTCGCCTCCATCAACGATGTTCTGTCCTTGTCAGATATGCTTTCCTGCACCTCTGAGTGCCGACAAAACCAGAAAGGAAGCCACAGCTTCCCAACTTCAATGCTTCAACTCCTACAGGATGCAATCAGGTTGCCAAGAATTGCGACCAGAGCAGTTCGGAAGTTGCTATGGATGCTAAGTAAAATGATGGCGATGAAGATGCAGCCATGACAGAATGGCCTTCAGCTTGTGAAGAGCATAAATTGGATGGTACGACCATGGCTTGCCGAGTATTGGAGCAGGGATGTAACAAACAGGTTTGCGACATCAACCCGATTGTCTTGTGTGTGGACAATGAACAATGTGTGGATGTTCGTGCTCGTGACCAATGCTATAGGTTTGTTGAAATTCCAAAAGAGCATGCTATAGGTTCATGCACTCTAGGTGCTTGTGAAAATTCCTAATGGTGCAGAATTCAGACTTCTCATTTTTATGGAAAATTTTATTTTTACATTTGTCTTCAAATTCATATTTTTCAATTTTATTAAAAATTTTAGTTTTCTGCATATTTATCTTCAGATTCTTTTTTTTTTCAATTTTATGGCAAATTTTTCAAAATACACTATTTTTACTTTACTTTTTTCAAAACATCTATTAGACTTAATTCATTAAAATGTTAACTTATAAAATACAATGATTGTAAAGCATGTGTCCCGATACCTCGAACCACCGAAGTGGCTCGCTGACTACGTTCCCTTGGACCACAGATGGAGTAATTCTGATTACGTTCTTATGTCGAATTGTGGAGGAAAGGATTTGCAAGGATGTTGTCTGATTGTTTTTATTAGTCTTTGGATCTTAAGGTAATTGGATAATTTTTTTACTGATTAACATGTTTAATAATATAGTTATGAAAAGAAGTATTTTAATAACCCATTATGTACTTTTGGAAACCGTATGCTGCTCTTGTGTAGCACAATGATTGCAAAAGAGGGTAAATTGACTTAGGATATCCTAACTAAATTTTAGTCATGGAGTGTGGCATCAACATGATTTCATTTGCAACAATCTTTTTCATTTTGAGTATTTAACTAGATAAGAGATCGCGTTGTTGTAGTTGGTGAACAAGTTTCATAGTGTACTAGTTATGGAAATTGTAGACACTTTCAAGTTTCATCGCTGAGCTTTTATGTTGGTTCAACTTGAAACTTTTAGATTTTATGCAAGATAATTTTTTACTGATTTAACATGTTTAATAATATAGTTATGAAAAGAAGTATTTTGATAACCCATTATGTACTTTTGGAAACCGTATGCTTCTCTTGTGTAGCCCAATTGATTGCAAAAGAGGGTAAATTGGCTTAGGATATCCTGAATAAATTTTAGTCATGATGAATTTTGTAATCATTGAATTTGCCTAATATAAATGCAATAGATGATTAATCAATCACCTTATTTTATAACATCAAATAATAGTAATTATTATAACACAAAAATAATACTAATTATTATAAATACACTGCTTTTATAAATACACTAGTTGTAATGTCAAAATAAATTATTACAAAAAAATTGCTTTTACTTTATTTTGGTTCTACCTCACCAAACAAGGGAAACAATTCTCCTGCGTTTATTTTGCAGACAACCAAGCAGTCTCAAAGTATTCAGAATGCACTACATTTACTTTACATTGCATTTACTTTACACTGCATTTTCTTTTCAGCAACCAAACAACCCCTAAACCTTTGGACATTCATGCCAATAGCAAGCACTGCAGGAGCCCTGACATTGGCAATAAGGATCTATAAACCATTGAATTGGATGGTGGCTGAGTGGCTCAGAAATTTCTCGTGTTTATGATGACATTAACCAATTCAATGTTAGCTCCATGTCCTAGTTGGATTTTAATGGTGTGTTTTGGAGATATATTATGGGCAAATGGAAGATGAGAATCAGTTATCAAAATTCAATGATCTAAACCAAAGGATCATTGTCGAAAGTTATTAGTTACTTCATTCAAGATACCTAACAAATCTAAGATAGTTACTTGCCTAAAGGGATAAATTTAACAATCATAACTAACATACGATTTTATACCCTATCGACTACACTATATAATTCATTACTCAATAATTTTTAGTCATTGGAGAACTTAGAGGTTCTTAGTCATTGGATAACTCATAAGTTTTAGTTGAACCAGTAATTTAATGGTGTCAGTTGAAAGCAAAATCGCCGATTAGAGGACAAGTAGCATGTCCTTATTAGCGGGAAATTATTTGATAATGAATCGTAGCAACATATTCGACAAGACCTTAACACTTATGAGATGAGGCTATTCTCAAATTTATCACACTTGACAAATGGTTGTTGAAGATTGATGAAATTTACTTTAAATTGTAAGAGATTAAGTTCATTTGAAGTATTTGAATTTTTATGAGCTTTCTCAATACTCTTGTATTTAACTTGGATTCGCGTCCAAAATAGTTTACATCAGTGTTCAAAGGTATTTTAAAGATAGAATCACCTCCACTTAGATTTGTGTCAATACAACCATCATAAACATCTATTTTATCATTTAAACCATCTCAATTGTACCCACTTGTTGATAGCGATCGGATTCAAACATTAGCCTTGCAAGCCACCAAATGAGCGATAAACTTGAGAGTTTGTATTTTTGTAATGTTTTTTTAAGGGGCATTGAAGGACTAATATGAACTTAAATTCAAATATTTTTGCAAATTTTGCAATCATATTTTCACTTGTGAAAATAGGATTTATGCACTATTTGACACTTATATTTTTTAGATAAATAAAAATTAAATTTATTCTTCATTTTAACCCGCACAGCATTTTTAGGCCTCAAATTTAAAACTTTGGTGTGTTTGGTCTGAGCACATGCAGGTGAGTTGATTTTAATGATCTAATATGTTGTGCATGCCTCTCGATGCATATATACAATGTTCTTGGTTTTTTATGCATATACACAATATAGTTATACATTTTTAATGTACTTGCACAAATTTCGATGCATTTGCACAATGTGCTTGCACATATTTCTATGCATTTGCATGGTGCACCTGCATACTTTAATATACTTACACACTTTTCAATTCGCCAATGCGATGCACTTCATATTCAATATGCACTAATTGATGCATTTACATATTTTTGAAGCGATTATATTATTCTCAGAGAAATTGCATGCTTCTTGAGGCAATGACATGCTTCTTGATACAACTGCACACCTCTCAGGCAGTTGCAAGGTCTTTTGATGCAAATGTACACTTCTTGAGGTGATTGTATGCTTCTCGAATCAACGGCACACTTCTCAAGGCATTGCTATTAATTTGATAATTACTTTTTGATGTAGGCAAGATTTTAAAATATTTCAATTTTTAATTGCTTGCAAGATCATTTATCATCAAAATGCATGCAAATTTTTATTTTGAAATTTAAAACGGATCATTTTGTATCCACTTATATGAATGTGTTGTTGATCTAGTAGTGTTGAAAGCAAATAGGAATATTTTAAGTGATTCAAGATGTAATGCTTTTTGTCTTTACATGGTCTAAAAACTTAATATGGAGGACCCCTTAGAGAATCATTTATCCCTCCTTTTTATAAGAGGGGTGTAGCTTGATGCACTTGGCTGATCAAATTCTGTAGAGTTAAGTTCTTCAGGAATATTATAAGCATTGAGTGTGAAAGGGATGTAATGTTTGCGCATGTAAGCGAGCCACAGCATTTGTTACAAATTTTTTGTAAATCCATTTTCAGTTAAATGGTCATTCTCAATTTATGTTTTTTGAACTTTTATTTCAATTGTACAATTCTTATGCAATGATTTATTAAAGTAACATTTTTTGTGGATCTATTTAACCTAAATTTCAATATCCTCCTAACTTCTCGTCTGCATGGAGGGCATTACTAGGATTGTTAGGTCTTCCCACCAAACTAAAAAAGTGTATAGAGTCAATATCATGAGATATCGTAATCGGAGGTCTTCTATCCCACTGGGTTTGAAAATTCATGCATACGCTCTCACCACATGCACGAGCGAAAACACAAATTTTCTCGCCACATAGCAATAATGCACACATGTACTTATTTTGCAAATTTACCCATCGCATTGGATCAACACGCACATGTACTTAATTTTGAGGCTTTGCAACATACATCTTCATGCAAGGCAATCAACGAGGACACGAAGACAATATTTATGACATGAGCAATGCTTAAACAAGAATGTAATAACAATAATTACACAAGCAATGTTGCAATGGTTTCTCGTCGTAGCAATTGCAAAGCCTTTGGATAAGATTTTTGAGAGGGGCATTTTGGTAAATTAGGTTGGAATCCAAAGCACTCTATTATACGGTCCACATTTATTCCTTGGATCATGAGGCATTTACTTGGCAATAAAGTGCCTTAATGATGTCGGAATTAAGTGATTTTGGGCATGTTGGATTCATCTCACCAAGCTTCTTGATTTAACCATAAGTGTGCCAAGTTTGGAGATCATCTGATCATCCAATCAATGTCTGAAGCTTTCAATTATGCTTCAAGTGTTTGATTTGAACTAATTTAGACTTGAATTTGGCCACTTTTAGTATATTTGGATTCGTCTTGTCGAGACGTTTAGTTCGACTATAAGTTTGTTGAAATTAGAGTTCAAATGATATTGAATTTAATTCTAAAAGTTTTCAATTAAAATTTTTCCTCGAGATTCATGCTAATTTTTTGTAGATATATCAATTAGTATAGAAGGTGTTGTTGGTTGCAAGTGCATGGGAAAATACAAAAAGGACCCAACGTTCAAATTATGAATCATTGCAAAAATGTTTACCAAGTCACATATGCTTTCGCATTTTTTACCTTTTTTAGGCAAACTCTTAATGCTTCTTGTAGCTGCAACATGAGTTTGTGGGGTGTTGTTATAATTATTATGTTGACATATGAAATTATCACATGTAACTTGAATTTGTAGTAAGAATCTATAGTATTTTATTAGTGTAGCATTTCCTCATGTTTTATTGTATTTTCATTATCGCACTATTCTCATACTTTACATAGCCATATTTGTACTAGTACCAAAATTCAATCAAGTAACTATGTAACCATCTTTTATGATTTCAAACAGTTTTCACAACTGTTTTAAAACTGCCAAACAAGTACTCAATCTTCAACAACAACAACTGAAAGCATATGGGAGCAATGCAGCAATATTCATCAAGGCATACATAAAAATAAAAAATGAAAAATGAAAAAACACAAATTGAGCTTCTAAGAAACTAGGATAACCATATAAATCGAGGGCAACCAAGACTGAGCTCAGACATAGGACCAGCCAGCGCCCTCCCGTGGAAAGGAGAAAAGTTCGTGAATGTCTGTAGTAAGTCAGGCGAGGAAGTTCCCCAAGTATAAAAGTGGAAAATGTTCTCGATAAAAATGGCATGTCATAATCCATTAATTATTAAAAAAAGAGCAAATTTCCTGAGACGGAAGAAAGAGTCTTTTTAATACCTTGCACGGTGGATACTTTATCGGAGAACGAGTAATTTCATTAAATTAGTGAGCAGGGGCAGGCCCAAAGACCGGTAGGGAAGACGTTCCAGAGAAGGTACCGCCGGCCTCTTGGTTAGTTTGTATTTCTTCTTACCTTCAATGGAGAGGTTAGATATTCAAATCATCAAATAAAGGATTGGTTATCAAAGAAGTGGATTGTTGAGCAAAAGTCCACTCAAACAACGCTGACCGGCAGAGGGCAAATTAGGCGCTGGAGGAGGAGGAGGAGGAGCAGGAGGCGACAGAAGTTGGAAGATAGAACAGACGACGGCAGCAATGGAGAAGAGGGTCGAGGAAGCCAAAGAGAAGTGGATAGACGAGAAGACAAGAAACCCTAGGATTTACTAAATCCCCGGTTCGGCGGATTTATGGGATTTGGCCGAAGAAGCGCGCAAAGGTAGAAAGTTACCTTCACAACCAGCGAGCCCCCGTTGTTGCTCCCGATCAAAATGTTGTAACTCCCGATCCAACAGGAAGGGAAAGTGGTCGAAGGAGCCGAAGAAGCGACACGTGCAATCTCTACAACTCCTGGAAACGAAACGGAACAGCGACGACGAAAAGAGAAATGAAAAAACCCTAGACGCCTCATCCCGGATATTATTGATTAACTTAATTAATATAATTTAAAATATTAATAATTAAGTAAATTAATTAAATAATTAATATTATAATTAGTGCATAAATTAAGTATCTAATTTAACTTAATTAAATAGTTAGTAATATCAAATAATGTCTCAGTATTTAATATTTGTCATACCAAATAATTTTCAAAATTTAACACCCTCTACATTTACTAAATTCGAATTTACAGGATTTAATAAATCCCCCTAAAATTAAATCTCACTTGTTGCCAAACAGGCCCTAAGAGAAAGATGTGCAAATTTGAAAAAATTATTGTGGGGAGTCTGACAATCGGAGGTCTGCACATATTTTTTTCTGGTAATTTTATTTTTGTGTAGTCACCTGAATTTTTTAACTAACGTGTCACCCGACGACTCAGCCTGACTATTTTAGTTGATGCTCTATTAAAAAAAACCTCGCGACTGGTTTCCCAAAGTTTAAGGTTTTCACCGAATAAAATATTTCCACGGATCGTCACTAAAATTTTGGAGTAACCAATGAAGAAGATGGAGCCTGCTTTGGATGACATTCAATTCTATCATTATATGATATGCATATAGAACGCGGATGCTGAAACTGTCAGATAAGAAGAACTGAAAGTTTGCATGATTGTGCAAAGATTTGAAAGGTTGGATTAACGAAAGTCAATTTGGTGGGAGTATATGTTCAAACATATCGATATTATTTTGGGATTATTATGTATTCTTAAATTTTATTCTTATGAAGATTGTCTTAAATAGAATAAACAAGACTTATACATATTATATACAAGATTGTTGTAGAGACTATGTACAACAATCTTGTACACACTGTTTGCGTTTCGAATGACAAAATAGATAGCTTTGGCTGGTGGCCTCTATTGATAGCAGGTAGTGGCAGATGGTGGTGAGCCGACTACTATAATAGACAATATTGATAGCGAGGTCATTGGCAGTGATAAGCAGGAATCACAAGCGCACATTACAACTTCAAGATAAAAAAATTATTATTTTCTAAAGCAACTTTTTTTAGTGCAAAAATTTAGTTTAAATTTTTTTCATTAAAAAACTATATTAGATTTAAAAAAACAAATTGAAATACTAAAAAAAACAAATACTAACCAAATTGAAATACTAACAAAAAAAAAACAAAATAAAACACAACACAATACATTATAAATGTTGTTTGAACAAACAAACCCTAAAAATCCTAAAATTATTTTGGAATGGCTATCTACAAGTTTACTTTTTTTTTTAATTTTAAAATGTTCTATTTAACGCTAATAATTCCATAACATGCCATTTTATGTCCTACCCATATACCAAAATGCTTTTTCTAGACATTAAAAACTCAAATTAGAGCTTTTTTTTATTGTCGAATGGAATTATCAAAGTTAGATCCAAATTTTGCTCAAAATATTATATAAAAATAATTTATTAGCTGATCCATAAATAAAAAGTTATTGAGTCTTTGTGAAGAACACCATTCACAACATCTCAAAAATAAAAATTTACAAATCAGACAAAAATTTTGAAAATATAAATATATATTTAAATATTCTACCTCAAAATTGAGTCAGATAAATTTTATTTGAATTTATTTTGAGATAAATATCATAGATGAAAAATAAATCATATTCACATAGAAACCATTCCACTATATATATATATATATATCAAAAGCTTTAAAAATAATTCAACTGACCCTTTTTTTAAGATAGGAGAGTGCTTTCTGATAAGCACATCGAGAAAAATTATTCCGTGCGGAAGCCATCCGTCGTCCAGAGATCAACCAGAACGTGTCATGTCATTTTTTTGCTCGATACTGGTGCTTGATACCGCTGCATATCAGGTGACGTGGCACGTTCTGATTGATCTCCGGGCTGTCCAATGTTTGCTTAGACATTGTTGGGAGAATCAAATATAAAATCAGTAAGACTGAATTTTTTAGGATCATCAAGTAACAAAGACATTAAGGTTTCATAGATTTGGTTTGATTATAGTAGATGACAGCGTTCAGAAACAGTAAATCTCATTTCACCATATGCAGAACGAATTCAGAGAAGAAATTATCTCTTTCAATATTTCTACAGTTTAATCTTACCAGCCAGGTACCAGGAGTGCATTGCAAGGCTGCCAAAGGAAAGAATATTTGCAAGAGAGGAAAGGCCATGTATCATCCCAAACTTCTTGTTCATGGCTGCAAGCTTAGGGTTCACTTTTGCAGCCTCCACATTCTTTGACCATCCGACCTCCTCACCGATGCTCAGATCGCGTTCGACCTTGTGCCTTTTCTTCATCATCTGTGGTAAATTTAAGAAAAATAATGAATATTTGTCAGCATTGATTTCTAATGAAGCGTTAGGGTATGTTGAACGAATAGAAGATAAAAAGAAAAAAATATATTTTTTTTTGTGCACAATCCCAAAAGGATCGGGGTTTCAGTTAGGCATGGATGTTCGGGAAAGTGTACTTAGCAAACCAAATATGGAGAAATTATTCTGTAAGGAGACCAGACCCAGAACACCAAACGGAGATCAACCAGAATGCGCCACATCAGCGGTACCGAGCCGCAGTACCGAGCATAAGGTGATGTGGCGCATACTGATTGATCTTCAAACAGCATTAAGTGTCCGCACAAAATAATTTGTCTCAAACATGACAGTTATGAATAATCAAATATCAAGATCATGACATGCATAAGTTACAGCAAATGAGGACATTCCACTGTTGCATTCCTTCCAGAGTAATCACACACGAACTCTCAGTTTTCAAATGAAAACATTGTAGTTTGTAACTAATATAAAGCTCCGGCATTATCATCAATTATCTCAATAGTCAACACAAACTACCTGCTTGTTTATAAAAACGCGAAACATAAAATCCAACAACTAACGAATTTCAGAAGTGCCAGGTTGAACCAAATTTGGTGCACCCAAAGGTAAATCTTCTGTGAATCTCAGTAGCCGAAGTTTATGACATTAATTTGTTAAGATCCCAACAATTGAAGTTTTAGAAGTTAAGATCAGTCTATTCAGTTTTGGATTTGCATACAAAAGGTTGATATTAGGCAAGTCAACCCGAAACCAATCAAGGTATTAACATCTCTGTCCAACCCTAGTCTGACCTGGTTACCAAGCCAAAGAATTAAGGACATACCCTTGACGTGTCCTACGGTAGATTGTGTAAGTACGGGCTATGTGACCTAACATGCCACAAGAGTAACATCTAACACCAGGAAATTGATTTACTAGCATATGTGGGTCATAGTGTCTCTTCCTAGGTTTATGTGATACATACTGTGTTGAGGGGTTATAAAATTGTTTTAAGTTAGGTGGTGGTTTGTTATTTTCAAGTGTAGTTAGTTTTGCTTCTAACTAAAAAAAAAGTCTAATCATTATTTGAACATTTAGTACAGTAGAGATCACATGCTTCAGATTTTTAACAGAATGTTACAAGTTCTAAAAAGCATTTAAAACTATAATTGTCTGGATATAACTAATGCTCAAGACTTCAACCTCCTTTATCAAAATTTAAGCTTCTATCATCTTTTTAATCCTAAGGACTATAACAATCACCTGGCGTTCTTTAAAACATAATTTTATCCTCCACAGACTACAGAATTTCTCTAAAATTCATAGCAACAATCTTACTGAGCATGGTGGGAAAGTCGAAAAAGACATAACAAAACACAGGACTAAGGTCTACTTTTGAATAATTTATAACAACCATAAGCTTACAATATTTCAAAACACAAAGGATATTCTTCAATTTATATGAGAACAGAAATGGTGATGCTAAAATTTAAAACTTCCTTTTTTTTCAAGAGATATTAACCATCAAAATTCAGGTTATGTTCAGGAAAAAAAGAAGTGGTAAAAAGTACATTGCAGTGTTGCAGACCATGAAAATCAATCACACCATGTAATGTCATAGAAACTCGTGCTTTAGTTTTTTTTTTACAGAACTGTCTTATATTATTAAATGCCTCATATACTATTGAATCGTTTAAAACCAACCGAAATATAATCCTGAGTTTCAAATTCCAAACACAAACTTTTCGGTAATGCTATCCTCTCAATGATCCACCAAAAGGATCTCTTCAAGAAGATTCTCAAATCACACCATTAAAATTGAAACAAGTCATTAGGAGTCGACAAAAAAAAAAGAAAAAAAAAAGTCATTAGGAGTCCACAAGTGAAAATGAATCATCAAATGAATTCTTAATGATCAAGACAAAGAGAAGGATATCAGTCATATTATATCAGATAGGTCAATCAAGCAGGTCTTATCTATCTAGCCAGCATAGGCTTACGTTAATTTAAGATTGTTTTGAACAAGTTTTAATTGAAGTTCCAATTACAATTACTTGATTTTAGGAAAGAAAAGGCTATCCCTCGAATTGTGGAAAGATAAGGATTCATTTAATTTGAATGTGCAAGATTGAAAATAGTAATATAATAAAATACTAATTAACTAAATATAAGTAGAATGTTTCTATGTATCATAATCGAGGATATTCTCCATTGAATTTCCTACCTCTTATATTCACCCTATTTGTCTATATAAGAACTATTCTCAACCAATACTTGAACATGGTATAAGAGCAGGATTAATCTTAAACCTAGTTATTTTTGTCCCTCCCTATTGTTCACGTCATATTCGCTTGCATACTCTCGCTTGCTTACACACAACCCTCCCACTTGTTCTCTCATGCACTGCTTGTTGCGCTCGCATGTGTGCTGCATATGCAACTTGTGCATGAGCCTTCTTGTTACCACACCTCTCTCTCTCTCTCTCTCTCTCTCTCTCTTTCTCTCTCACACACACACACATGCCTCTCGGGCACAAATGTGCTTGCCCACGCTTATGACTTAACTCGTTACCACTAATTCTCTTATCAATGCATGCAACCACCCTTGTAGTCGTACTTCATTGCATTTTATATGCATAATTCTTCTTGCTTCCAGACTTCTCTTCCCAACATTCACTCATATCGATGATTTAAGTTCCACTAAGATTCTTTGTGCCTTCATTTTTATGGTAGCACAGCGTCTTCATCTCCTCTTCATGAGACAAAATCCTCATCCACCATCAATATCAACATCAAATTTAATAGAACTAATTATCTTTTTATGGTTTTTCATGTTCTTGTTGGCTCCCATAAGAGACATCAATATATTGATGTGTCTCCTCTAAATCATGATGACACTATCAAATATTCTAACTGGCAAGCATTTGAAAAGTGGGACGAACTTCTTCAATACAAGTCATTTACCTTATGATATGACCTTTTGACAAAAATAGAAGAAATTTGTTGTTGCCAATCTCTTTAGGCTTGACCCTTCCCTCCTTCATATTCAATCATTTATGATAGATCACTCTATCATTCCCAACATTGTCAATAATCTCCCTCGAGTTATTCGAATCACCGAGCTCTTTTCTTCTTCATAGCTAATTTTCAAACAATCTGATCTCACCATGAAGCATCATGGTGGTTATGGTGGTCGAGATGGTAGAACAAACAATAGTCATGGTCGTGGGAGAAAAGCATTTTATCCTAGCTTTCATAGTGGCTGCACTAGTCATTTCTTATAATAGCGTTCATCCAAGTTTGATTACCTCCATTATGTAGCATTATTATAACTTCTTTCTGGCGACTACAGACACTTCCACCCCAAACATTTTTTTATGGAGTGGTCACTTTATATCAAGAGGAATATGATTGCCTTGTTTGGCAATCTCACACATTTATGTTTGCTTCTCATATTTGTTTCTTTTATGGTTCTATTGTTGCTACTTCTCCTGGCACATTCTAAAATTTTAGGCTCTAGTGCATTTTCACATATGATAAAGAATCACCAATTATTTTCTCCCTTAACATGTCATCTTTCTCACTTGTCCTTGTTGATGGTTCCCCAAAGCCTATGTCAAATAAAGTTACTATATCTCTCACTAAGGGCTTATCTCTCCTATGTGTCACATGTTCCTAAATTTCCTATAAATTTACTTTCAATCCATTGTCTTACTTGCACTCACAACTATTATATAACCTTAAATCCCTTTGTGTGTTTCATGATTCGTTAAGGAGAATATAATTGATAGAGGTATTGAAGCTAATGGAATCTACTACCTAACCAACACGATCTGAGGTGCCTTCATGTCCACCATCACTCCATGCTAATACATTATTGTTTGGCTTATCCACCACCATAACATCTTTGAAAGTTTATTCCTACCTCCTCTTTCCTCACTAGATTTGAATGTAATGCTTGTAAGCATGGTAAGCATCATCAGAGATCTTTTCCATACGTCAAGTCCTAATGGTGACTCTTTAGAGCTAGTCCTGTCAAAAAATAGTGTCCAAGCCATGTCCTTACCCACCAAAATATTTGATAATCTTTGTTGGCGATCATTGTTTTGACGCATGGGTCTATTAACTCAAATGTTGATTTGACATTCGGCTATGATTCCCACATTTCATCTGGAAATCAAAGTTCTTTTTATGCTAATTGTATACTAATAATGCATTATAAGTGATGCCGATAATGGAAATTAAGAATCTCAATCATTATCATTTTGTGCTGATAATAGAATCATTCACCAGACCTCATGTCCCCATAATTCTCAATTTCGGTTGTTGAATCCAAGCATCACAATTTACTATACCATGAATAAAACTTTGCACAGTAATAATTCTTTGCAAACGATATTGATTATGGATATTAAGAATCTCAATTTCTATCATTTTGTGCTGACAATAGAATCATTCATCAAACCTCATTTCCCCGTAAGTCTCAATAAAATGAGGTTAATGAATCCAAGCATCACAATTTACTAAATGTTGCACAGATATTGTTGACGCTCCATATGAATGTTTCACGCTAATTCTGAAGTTACGAAGTGTTGAATGTCCGCTATCTTATTAACAAGCTCTCTTCAACTATTATTGATAATGTGACCCCCTCAATCTCTTATATTATGGGCAGTCCTTTCCTCATACACACAGTTTTTTACCTATATTTTGCTTGTGCTTATGACAAACTCCGTTCTCAAGTCAGTTGATACATCTTTCTATGATATTCTCACTCTTAGAAAGCCTATTGTTGTTGTAGCCCCACTACTTGCCACATTTATACCTCTGCAAATGTCATATTTCACAAATACACTCTCCTCCACTAATCCCATTTCCGCCTCTTCCACTCTAACGGCCCCTCTTCCCCCTACAACCAAAATGCCTTCTTATTTCCTAGTTAAAACAAGTTCGCCTCGTCTACCATCTACAACACCTCAAATAACATTG